CTCCCAATTAAGAAGAAACACGAACTTGGGTGCAGATTCCGGGTACACAAGTATAGAACTGAGTCGAACATCTGAAGGCAAACTTAATCGTTCATCCAAGCGGTTAGAAAAAAGCACATCACATTCAAGACTCCTACTACAGGCTCTACATATATATCAACTTGAACTCATATTCCACCAACAACAAAGCCCGCTGCCCACAGAAGAAAATTGAGCACGTACCTAAAATAATAAGCTGTGCCTTGATTTGATTTGAGAGCGCCCTGCAGAAGTAAGTAAGTAGAGTGCAGCCCGCACGAGTTACCCCAAGTCTGGTAGATTGATTAGTGCAGGTACGAGGCCTGAAAGGATCATTAGCATGGTACATTGAACACCACTTCATGTACGCCAGGAACGCCAGGCCTACAAGAAAGAGCGGCAGCAGGGCGGCGGCGGCGGCGCGGCCCTTGCTGAGGTGGTGCTGCGAGACCGCGCCCAGGGGGGGGGGGGGGGGGGGGTGAGTTTGGTGGTTTTGTTCTCGGTGTTGAGCGAGACGTCGGCAGCCGCGGGCTTGCCGGTCGCGGGCTCGGCGTAGGTCGCGGTGATGACCGGGCCGGCAGGGATGACCCGCAGCGCGGGGAGCGAGCCGGCGGGGACGACCATGACCCGCAGCTGCATGCTGGGCGTGGCGCCCCACCAGCGCGGGAGCTCGTCCATCGTAAAGGACCCGTCGGCATACGGTACGCTGGCCCACTTGTGCATCAGCGGCTGGTCGAGGGGCGCAGTGAGCAGGATGTCAGCGCGAGCAGGGGAGTCTGGGAGGCAGTTGAGCCCTGTGGCCCAGGAGACGGTGATTGGCTTCAGGGCGTCGTGGGTGCTGCCGGGGTCGGGGACGGTGTAGAAGGCGCCGGTAGCGTAAGCTATACGTTGTTAGTACAGTACAGTACATTGCAGGAAGAACACTGGCATACTGGGATCAGCGACTGCAAGCGCACGACGCAGATGCTTGCCGAACTGTGCACCGGCGTGCCCGACCTTGATCTTGATGCCCTCGTGTGTGTAAAAGGAGGGACGGCCGTCGGCGGCGACGACAAGAACGACGAAAAGGAAAGGAGTTCAAACTCCGACGTGATGGTTGTTGCACATGACACACGCCAAGGAGCGCTGTCGGTCAAACGTCGTCAAGTGGTGATGGCAACTTGCAAGTTTAGGCGAGGACGGGGCCTTGTACTGCAGGCTTGCGTTCGTACTCGGTTCAGTGCTATTCTCGAGTTAGTACTCTTCGCTCCGCTCCACAAATTAAAGTTCTCGTCCTCCTCGCTAGCATCGATCACAGTCGCCTCTGACTCGACGTTCCTGTCACCTCCTGTACATGTCTGTTCATTCTGAATTTTAGAGAGAGAAAAAGACGACGTGTAGACTTCCTGCCGTCACGGTGCACACTTTTGGGCAAATAAACCAACAATTTTCTACCAAAAAAAGCACACGCGCCTCCAGATCAACTCCAGATCTCAATTAACGGGCCCCGTTCAGCTCACTCATATCCCACTCCCTGTGGTATCCAACACCTCGGATATAGTGTACGGTGCACATCAGCTGTGGATTGCTCGCATCCGCAGCGCAGTACAAGCTGAAGGCCAGGGTTCGACTCCCTGCATCCGAGCTGGACGTCCTCCAAGCTTCTTTTTTTTGGGGACGACAAATTTCTCTCCTACAAGTCCGGGTTCCAAACGTGGTGAATAACTCGGACGTAGTGTACGGCGCACATCAACTACACATGTTGTTGTCGTTGACTATACGCCGAAGGTCGAGGATCGACTCCCCGCATCCGACTACAGGTCTTCCAAGTTCCCTGGTGTTTTTTTGGGGGCTTCCGCAAAAAGCCCTCTCCCCAGGCAAGGTGCCAACGATAAAGAATACCTCGGATGTGGTGCACGGTGCACATCGGCTTACTATAGCCGGAGTATTTGATATGTTGAAACATCCGAATTCAACTATGTAGCTTCCCAGTCTTTTTTTCTACAAAATCCTCTCCTATGAATCCGGGTTACAAATATGGTGAATAACTCGGATGTGGTGTATGGTTTCAACAAAACGAGGCACGAGTTTATATCTTGTTGAAGCGTCTGTCTAGGAGAGACTAGTGTACGGTGCACATCAGCTCTTTATGGAAAATTAAATAAATCCCAAGCTGAAAGCCGGGGTTCGATTCCCTGCATCCAAATGAGGCGAGAAAAATTTTCTCCAATATCTTTTATTTTTCTTCCACAAAGAAATCCTCTTCCTGGCAAGGTTCCCACAATGAAGAATAGCTCGGATGTGGTGGACGGTGCACATCGGCTTCATATACTGAAGTAAGAAATGAGCCGTTAAGCCGAAGGCCGGGGTTCGACTCCCCGCATCCGAATTCGCCCGTAGTCCCCCTTTTTTTTCTTTCTACCTCATAAAGTCACAATCAAAGTCTCGACTCCCTATGTCCGGATTTGCCTTTTCAAATTCTAATCATTCGCTGGAATGAACTTAGGTCGCATTGCAATTATTCAACATTGAACGGACACGCAGTTACTTACCCAGCCTCAACGGAATAGAAATACCTCGGATGTGGTGTATGGTGCACATCGGCTCTTTATTCGGAAACGGACCGGTATGCCGAACGCTGGGGTTCGACTCCCCGCATCCGAATCAGCCCTTCTCTCACCCTTTTTTTTTGGACCACCATATTTATTCTCCTGGCACGCTTCCAACAGTGAAGAATACCTTGGGTGTGGTGTACGGTGCACATCCGCTCTTTATTCGATCGAAATGCTGGTAAGCTGAAGGCCGGGGCTCGACTCCCCGCATTCCAATCCCCATACATATCTGTTTTTTATTATTTTTCTTCCACAAAGCCTCTCCCCTCACACATTTCAAATGGTACTAAATAATTCGGATGTAGTGCACGGTGCACATCACCGACGATCCCATAGGACGATAAGTCGAAGACCGGAGTTGCGTCCGAATTTGCAAGTCGTTTTCTTTTTCCTTTGTTTTTTCTTTTTCCACAATCAAAGTCGAAAGGCGAGGGTTTGACTGCCTATATCCGGATTTACCTTTGCAAATTCCAATCATTCGCTGGAATGAAAAGGTCGTATTGCAATTATTCAACATTGAAAGGTACTTACCCAGTCTCAACAGAATAGAAATACCTCGGATGCGGTGTATGGTGCACATCGGCTTAATATTCACGAAACCTCGCATATGAGCTGAAGGCCGGGGTTCGACTCCCCGCATCCGAATGCCCCCTTTCTGCAAGTTCTCTCTATTATTTTTGGTCCCACCAAATCCATTCTCTTGGTAAGGTTCCAACGGTAGTGAATACCTCGGATAATAGTGTACGGTGCACATCAGCTCTTTATAGAGGCGTCTAATTGTAGTGCAAGCTGAAAGCTGGGGTTCGACTCCCCGCACCCGAATCCTTCTTCCTCTACCGTCTCTTTATTTTTGGCTTCCACAAAAACCCCTCCCTCTGGCAAAGCTCCAACGGTAAGGAATACCTCGGATGTGGTATACGGCGCACATTGGCTTCATATTCGTATGGGGTAACGGTGTAAGTCGAAGAACGGGTTCGACTCCCTGCAACGGAATCCTTTCTCCCTCTACCGTCTTTTTATTTTTGGCTGCCACAAAAACCCCTCCCTGTGGCAAAGTTCCAACGGTAAAAAATAACTCGGATCTGGTATACGGCGCACATTGGCTTCATACTCGTAAGCCGAAGAACGGGGTTCGACTCCCCGCATCCGAATGCCACTTTCTCTTGCAAAGTTCTTTTTTGAATTACCTGAAGATAAGCCGCTTACCCCTAGCCTAAAAGGAATTGACGCAACTCAGATGTGGTGTACGTTACACATTGGCTTAATATGCTTCCATAACAGCTAAAAACTGGGGTTCGAGAGTAATTGGAGCTGAATGCGCACTTCAATAACAAGCTCTGAATCGGCATCAATATATATGTATATCACTCAAACCAAAATTGAATCCGAGCACAACTCAGTGAGTTAGTTAGTACATACCTGCCGATTTGAATGGATCTTAGCTGGTAGTCTTTGAACACCGTCAAGTCAAAGTAACGTAGTATATATATCACACTCAACTATATAACACAAAGCTCTTAAACACAGTCCGCACACTTCAATTCACCCGACACCTCCCAAACTCCGAATTAAGAAGAAATTGCGAGTTCAATTGAACTTGGGTGCGGATTCCGAGTACACATGACACACGCCAAGGAGCCCTGTCGGTCAAACGTTGTCAGGGGGTGATGGCGAGTTCGGGCGAGGACGAGGGGGCCTTGTACTGCAGGCTTGCGTTCGTACTCGGTTCAGTGCTATTCTCGAGTTAGTACTCTTCGCTCCGCTCCACAAATTCAAGTCCTCGTCCTCTTCGCTAGCATCGATCACAATCGCCTCTGACTCGACGTTCCTGTCACCTCCTGTACATGTCTGTTCATTTTTTACCCGCTGAATTTTAGAGAGAGAAAATACGACGTGTAGTCTTCCCGCCGCGCACACTTTTGTAGCAAATAAACCGGCAATTTCCTACCGAAACAATGCACGCGTGCCTCCAGATCAACTCCAGATCCCAATTTAAGGCCAGTTCAGCTCACTCATATCCCACTTCCCATGGTATCCAATAACTCGGATATGGTGTACGGTGCACATCAGCTGCGGATAGTCCACGGCCACACCCCATTGCAGGCTGAAGGCCAGGGTTCGACTTCCTGCATCCGAATTGCAGCTTTCCCAAGTCCTTTTTTTTTTGGACGACAAAATCTGCGCCCAAGCACGCTTCCGACGCTGAAGAGTAACTCGGGTGTGGTGCACGGTGCACATCGGCTTAATATATTTCCTGAGCAAAAATTATAAGCTGAAAGCCAGAGTTCGACTCCCCGCATCCAAATGAGAATCAGATGCTTTCTCCAATTTTTTTTATTTTCCTTCCACAAAATCCTCTCTCTTGGCAAGGTTCCAACGATAAAGAATACCTCGGGTGTGGTGTACGGTGCACATCGGCTTCATATACAAGTGTATACAATAAGTCGCATAAGCTGAAAGCCAGGGTTCGACTCCCTGCATCCGACTTTGTAGCCGCCAATTTTTTGTTGGGCTTCACAATATCCTTTCCCGTGGCCGAGTTCATATGGTAAAGAATACCTCGAATGTGGTGTAGGTGCACATCGGCTCTTTATTCGCATGAACTTATCTCGGTAAGCCGAAGGCCGGGGTTCGACTCCCTGCATTTGATTCCCCAACCCAACCAATATCCTTTTTTTTACCCTCTGGAAGTCATATAGAAAGCAAGTTTAAGTTGTGGTCGTTTAAACCAAAAAAGTTCAGACTCTTTTTTTCTTCTTCTTTTTTTTGGCCCAGGGAAACTCACAGAATATTTCAATATTTTTCAAATATATTTGGATCCATATTAGGAATGGAGTAGCCTTCAGTGGGGAGGATTGTGGTAAAGAAGCAGCTAAGGTGTTGGGATATGAAAGAAGAGAAGCAGAAACTGATGACGCGACACCATTATACTATTGTGATGGGTTTGAATTCTCCCGATGTACCTGAATTTTGAATTTCTTTTTTTCCCCTGTAGACTTTTGCCCCCGGTATCCTCCCGGCTCTATTAATACATGTCTAATGCATCTACATGTGAAATAACTAAGAGATTTGGTGAGGGAAAACATGTAGTTAGCTTGTTGCCATAAGTATGTGACTGCGTGGCCTTTCAATGTTGATAAAATAATTGCAACCTAAATTCATTCCAGTGAATGATTGGAATTTGCAAAGGCAAATAATCCGGATATAGGGAGTCAAACCCTCGACTTTATGAGGTAGAAAAAGAAAAAAGAAAGAAAAAAGTCTAGGACTACGGGCAAATTCGGATGCGGGGAGTCGAACCCCGGCCTTCGGCTTTCATACACCCCCTTGCAGTATATCAAGCTGATGTGCACCGTGCACCAGATCCGAATTATTCGGTACCATTTGAAATGTGCGATGGGGAGAAAGTGTCTGAACTTTTTTGGTTTAAACCGGTTTCAGCCGGTTCAAACCAGCTCAAACCATAAAAAAAAAAGAGTCTTGTATATAATTTTCAAAGGACAAAAAATCTGTATACAACTTGCAAGCATGGTTCATAATAAATGTGCCGAAAGGAGCGCGGAGCAGCTGTGATGGTCTAATTCTGGCTGGAATATGAATTAGATTGTGTGCTAGTCAAACCAGACAAAGTAATAAAGATGTTGCAGAGACTCAGAGGCAGAAGAAATAAAACGCCGACGGCCGGAAGTTGCCGTATGGCACACGGATGGTGCTGAAGACAAGATAAGCATTTTTCAAAGATAACTCAAGTACATGCGCTACTAAATAATATGTGCCCGTTATCATGTGTTTTTGTCTGTACATGAACTCGGATAGGGCAGGGCCTTCGGCCCTGCCATCCTGACAGAAGGGAACAACAAATTGTTGCTCAGAATACTTCTCTGGAAGGAAAACATACCTTCATTTAAAAGTAGTGGCAGGGGTCCAAAAATCAAGAAAAAGAGGAATCAGGATTTGCCTGTTAGCACCGAATTTGGTACAATAGAATCAGGAGCAAGCAATAGATTTCTGTACAGTTCCCCAAGGTATTAGAATGTGCTTACACACCAGTGGTCTCACGGAGCAGCGGTAGCTCCAGTTTTAATTGGATGATCAATCATTGGCAATACAGATCCTATTCCTCCCGTAACCCACCATATTATTCTTGCAAGCATAACTATAGTAAAAGGAAGAAATAGCTGAACAGAATGAATCCACCCGGAGCCGGAAGCTGGCATCTGGTACACGGAGAAGGCCGAAGATAAGATAAGGGCACCGATCACTGTTGCGATCACCGATAACAAAAAAAGCTTGACCAGACCACTAAAGATACATGGTGGGGGTTTAAATTCACATAATGAGCCCCCGAAAAGAAAAGAAAGAAAAATGCAGTGTGAGCACTGGGTGACTTTCCATAACGATAAAAAATGTTTGAGCAATATCCAAGCTTGTTTTGAGGGTGCCAGTGATTGCATCAATCCAGATAGTCCTGAGTATTCTACAGGAAACACACAACCAACATTTTTAAAAGTGAACAGGTGTTCTTTCTAATTAATGTCCCCATATCGCATTTTGTTCCGGCCCGCTGTCGCTGACTGTTTGGAGCTGGTGGTTATGCCAAATAATGTGTCTTTCTCTTCGACAAGATGGACATCAACACACTTGTGCTACTTCAACAGGAGCAATATATGGAGGATGATGAAATAGAGGATGAACAGAGGCTTATAGGGCCTGCTACAGCCATCATTACACTAGGGATGGAGGAGGCGCACAGGTGACATGCTGAAAGGTGCAAATCAGAGTGATCGCACTGGATGTAATAAGTCAAGTAGAGTTTCTGTTGAGAGGGTAATTCGGGGAGGCCAGTTGGCAACATGAGCACTTACATATAAAGTGTTGCTAGAGAAGAAGAGGCTTGGAAGTGCTGGTGTCAGCAAACCTGTGTGGTCTCAATGTGGTGGGTGAACGGGGAGGAAGTAACATATATGACACATGTGATACGAAGCGAAATCCGGCAGGATGACCAGAGTAGTAGCCCAAATCATAATATTCAAGGAAATGTACAGTTAAGAAAGTCTATACAGGGGGTACCAACCCCTGTACAGATTTCAATAGATTTGAATAGCTCAGCAATAAACCATGTACGCTTTGGGATGATCAAATTTCCGGGGTCCTGACAGCTGCCACAGCATCATGGCGGAAATTGCTCAGATATTGCAGAAACATTGTTTATCGTTATGGAAAGTCACTCACTATTAAATCCAGCTATCTTTCAAACCCACCAATCTGATGGGCCACACAGGAGTATCAGCTGAGCACAAATCCCGCCCAACTTTCCCACAAAAAGGCTAATTTAGCTGCCTAATGGAAAACGGGGTACATTGGAAAACACAGTGGAACATTCCTAAGAAGGATTACCTAAACAAGTTTAGGACTAGTAAAAGTTTTGAAGCTGTGTTGGCCCTGAGCAAGTCAGGCTACCAACGACCATGGAGTCTCTCGCAGCGTGTTATTTACATTAAGTAGACTTGGGGTGTAGGGCCGTGTCGTTGCCCGGCAGGACTTGTACTTAAAACTTTTTTTTCCCCCCGGTTACCCCGGTTACTTCGGTGATTTCTGATTTTTAGATGCCGATCACGGGTCGGCATCGAAGGCTTGCCTATCATTTCCAGTAATTATTTGATGTGACAAGGTGACTTTACGTTCTTTCTCTTAGCACCATGTCGCCGTCTTCCAAGGTAAATAAATTATTTAGCCCCTGAGTATTCCGTTGAGCGGCATGGTCTAGTATATAAGCAAATACTTAGATGTTGCCGCTGTGTCTTCGGATGAGTATGAGGACGAAGAGGATGATGAAAGTGAATACGAGAACATGTTACATTGGATTGTTATGGTGCCTGAAGTGAAAACAGTATCAACAGTGTCAAAAGACGATTTCGAGAGAACTAGTTAGAGACGCTAAAAGACTCGAAGAGCGCTGACATTTGGCCAGCCAGCGCTAACACATAAACACCGCTTTGGGATCATACAGTTGAAGTGTTCAATACAGGAATTAACTATTTTATAGAACGAACCAGTGGCCCCAACATTAAGGTTACAATCTACAGAGAAAAACAGGAGATGAGCGTAAATAGCAAAAAGTGCCGATTACATGGTGTCGGCAAATCGGGAAAAAGAGAAGATAAGCTGAGAGATGCCGACCGGGGTTCATAATGGACATCAATAACTTCGGGACCGATGCCTCGCACGAAAAGGGAATGAAAAAGTTTGTTGTTCCCGGCTGACTCGGGGTTTGATCCACAATCAATAAGAATAAACATTACAGCCACTAGAAACATTTCAAAAAAATGAAGGGTTTCTGATCACAACCACTAGATTTATTAGCACAGCCCCAAAGAAGTCCCTCAATGTTTCGAGCTTTTGAAATGAAAAGTCCGGAAATCGGGCTCCCCTCGGATTTTAAAGAAATGATCACTTATTACATAAGTACTTGTAATCTCTGACTGGTCACTCCTCTTGGCAACAGTTCACAAAAGGAGAAATAAATCATATATTAGAGAGTTTGCGCAAAAGCCATCAGAGCCATCAGGTGGCTTTTTTGCAGTGCACAAATTGATGGCTCCTGGCTTGACTGCACAATTCAAACAATGCATTCTCCCCTTCATATAAATGCTCAGTAGAGTGAACATGTCAAGCTCAAGAACTGACATACCAACCTTCTCCAGCCTCAATAATAGATTCAATGTAAAAATTTCCTTGTAATGGGAGGTCAGTCAATCCCTGGGAGACAGTCCAATGGCAGTAGGTACATAGACATGTGTATATATTCCCTCTGCAGCTAATACCTTCCCCAAGTATCTGTTAGCTGAGGCAAGACGAGCTTGTGAGTCGGCTTCAGTGTTAGGCAAGGGAGATTAGATTAGATAGGACCAATCAGACACAGCCACCTGTCATCGCCTTTTGTTCCCGCTTCCATACGCGAAAACTTAAAGGCTTTCTTCACCACGTCTACTCCATCATACCCGCTCATTTTCTTTGCCCATTTTCTTTGCCCCACCCTCCCATTCCCTGTTTTTGTTAGTAGCTCACACTAGGGTTTCTATGGGTCTCATTCGCATTTCCTTTCTGACCTCTGACCTGAGTTTCTCTCTGCATACCGGTTTGGCCATGTCCATCAGCCGCTCATCCCTGCCTTGGAAAATCCTGCATCAGCATTTGCGATGCCCATTTTCTCCCCAGTTGGGCGGACATGGCCAAGCCCCCCCCCCCCCCCCCCCTCACACCCACACACAGCTTCACATCACATCTCTATATCAGCTACATGAATATCAAAGATATTCACCATATATTTAGACATTTGCTTTCTGCCTCATCTCTCAGATCCGACATATGAATCGGCATCTCCCTTACCAAGCCATCCGAACCGGGAGCCATCAATTTGCGCACCGCAAAAAAGCCACTTGATGGCTCTGATGGCTTTTGCGCAAAGTTGCTATTGTGGAAGCCTGCGCTGGCCAGTGTCAGAGACCCCAAGCCCAAAAGGCAACATAATCAACAACTAGTTGTTGACTACCAGTGGACTATATATGCTGTAAGCCAGCAGGCTTACACCCTTCCCCTCCATGTTGAGAAGAGCCATTTATAGGGTCACCCAAGGGCTTTTAAGGTACC